TAACCTATCAGTCCCTGTTACAGTCAGTAAACGTTCTTCGTTATCCAGATTGTGTGTCTGACATTTAAGGATCAATGTCTTTCAGGAAACAAATGCCTGAAACCCACTCTGCCACTTTAACTTTTGCTTTTCTCTTCCTGTAATGGCTTCAACCGTTTCACTCCTTCTTAAAGCAGATTAGTGTGTCTTTGGTCGATCCGTGCCATGCCCAGTGGTCCATCTGGAGTACCGCCATGGCTCCAGGGGCCACTGGGTGTATCCCTTCTTATCTTCGGTTGATGTTCTGTGCCAGTAGGTCACTTCTAACTTAAAGCAACTGTGTGAAATAATCTGCATTGCTTTAATCTGAAAGTCCTGCCATTAGTAGTCTTGCAGCCTAAAGGCCATGGCTTCCCTTATTGATTCACTCAAGCTCAGAGATACATCTTCGACTTTTACTACCATTATTGTCTTTTTCAGTCATCCTTATCCTCTGATGTGTCCGTTTTAGTAGTTTTAAGTGCCCAGAGTCACTCACCGTGAAATGGGTCAAGGAAGAGACACCAGAATAGGATTTCCCCCCATGCTCTCCAGGAATGAAGGGTGATTTCAGCAGAAGAAAATTGATTAGTTTCAGCGCTGGCAGGGCTGGGGAAAGACCTGAAGGGCAGCTGCTAGGCAGCAGCTGGAGTGGAAGGATCTGTTCTAGGCAAGTGGCACTCAAGCTAACACTTGTTAGTATTTCACAGAAGGCAGCAATAGTAAACCACTTCAGAATGTTTTATGCCTCGAAAACCCTCTGATGACTAAATGGCTCTTCTAGAGAGACAAGAAGTCTTGGCTGGTACCAGACTTCTGATGAGACACTCACTATTTTGGAAGACGGGTGGACGGATCTGTTGTAGAACAATACTAAGCAAGCTCGTTTATTGGAACCATTCCATTCTTTCCAGAGAGTGCTGTATATTTTGGTTTCCCCCTTTTTTTTCACTCCAAATCCACTGAGATAACTGTCGTTGTTTCCAAGTCTGCTACCAAGCGTCTGTGTAGCGTTGCCCTCGGAAGTGCGAGAGAGGGAGGAGAGCCTTGGCTAAGTTTAAAAGGATCTGCCTAAATAATCCATTGAGTCAGGTTTTCCGTGGGGTGGTTCTAATTTTGTCCAACTAGCAAGGTCTCTCTCTTTTTTGGGTGCTGAATTACATTGGAGTGGTTTTGGAAACTCTGCGCTAGAGAGTGGGGCCCTTGACAAAAAGAGGTGGAGCGGAGCCTTGATGCTTTGGCTTTACCCACACGCACACACATGAACACAGAGAGAGAGAGAGAGACACAACGATGGACCTCTTTAATCACCTCT